AGGACATCTTCTAATTTATATTATAAGTTTAAATGTTAAAGAATGTATTATCAAAAGTTTATATATTCTTTATTTTCCTTTTCGACATTTTTGATAGGAAATTGCATCATCGATTTCGAAATTTATAATTTACAGTTTAAATTCCTGATTAATGTATGTAAATGGTTTATGTCTACATGAATATCAAATTATACTTTTACAAAAAAATATAAGTTGTTTATGATGAACAGCCAAAATTGCATTGTTTGTATATTTTTATTTAATTTTCACCCAGTTTTCTTCATTATAATTGTAGACATCAATATTAAATTATAATTTTTAAAAAATAAGTTGGAAATGATAAACAACATAAAATGGATTCTGGCATTGTTTGCATATTTTTGTTCAATTTTTTTCAATGTCATTTTTTGTATATATTTATTACATTACAGTACATAATATAATTAAAAATAATACTGCAATAATTTCCATATTTTATGATTCTTTAAAAAATCTTGGGCCGCTGTGAATCTAATTTATTTTGCAAAAATTATATAATATATTTACATTAAAATAGAACTTACATAATCCAACGAAATATGAAATAATTAATAAAAATTCTGATAGGATAGTTTTCTTTAAAATATAATTACTTGAAATGTTCGAAGCTTGCTTAATACATACTTACATAATCTAATGTAATATTGATTAATAAAACTTGGAAACATAGGAAACTTTAACAACAAAAATTATAATTTTCTTGAATAAGTATTCAAAATAGAAGAACTGTATTTATCTACGTGAAGAAATAATGTAATTTAAAATCTTATTAGATAATTGTTGTGTAAAAAGATTATAAAATAGACAAAAGTCATGTCCTCAAAACATTTAAATTCAATTTTCTTCTTCTCAATTTTCTGCAACATCATTTTCATTAAATTATAAACTTTTGTAATATTAGAATTAAAATGCAAATATTCAATTATGATTTTTTTTACATGAATCAACAGTATTAATTCCAATAAGATAAATTTCTTAATAAAAAACTTGAGTCGAATCAATTTTGTTAACATTTATATATAATTTAAATTATTCTAAACTAAATAGAAATCTATTTTCATGTAAATGAAGTTAAAAAAATATTTTATACAATTCTATTGGATAATTAAATTACATTTAATTTATTAAAAATAATCAACTGCCATATATTTATATTAACTTATATTAATATTTCTAACTAACTCCATACAATAGATTATATAATTGTGATTATATTATGATTTGTGTTAAATGTTATGATTTTATTATCAAATTTCATAAGAAACTGCTATAATTTGTTTTGTTTTGCTGCATTTTTTTTAAATATAGCTAATATACAATAATGATTACTTCAGAGGAATCAAGTAAATATTATTAGTTCAATAGAATATTTTTCTCTTGGATAAATATAAAACTTGGAATCGCTGTCGGTGATCAATCTCCATAACATGTTAATACTGGCGAGAAGTTTGGGCGAATATAATTTACAGTTTCGTGGTCTTGGGATTATGAAGCGGCGGATTTATTGGCCTTCGGAAACGAAATTTCATCCGACCGGAAGAATTAGAGGCGCGAAAGTTTCTCTTAGTCACTTCTGGTTTGCACGTCGACGCCGGTAATAAATACTTTCCTCGCTCATCCGGTCTTTGCAAAAAAAATACTTTACTTGCATATAAAAGTGTGAATGTTGGATTTCTTCATCTTATTTTTTTATTTTGTTAAACTCGTTGGATGTGGGTTTATAAATTCGGATCTTTCCTGGGAGCGGCGTAATCCAACAAAAAAAATAAGTAGAGGATGAGGAAGAGACGAAGGCGTATATCGAAGGGTGTGACGTTTTCGTGAAATTGTAGCGGATATGGCAACGATTTTCCAATTGATGGAAATGATTCGGTGCTTTATCCACGTTCCAGCTGTTGAGTACGTTTAAACGATGTCCGGAAATTGAAAACGTCTAACGGTATCGGGCCTTGCGGGGGTTCGTGAGGCCCTGGAAAAGGGGTGACGTTGTGTTGGGTGGGATGTAAAGGGTGGAGGAGATTCCCCAACCTGGCTTCCGCAACCTGTTCACATATCTTGGCGGCAACGGTCGTTATAGTTTCAATTAACTGGATTTCCCGGGAAATTGGATGAAACTCAGAAAACCACTTTGTTGTGATTCTCATTCTGTAACGTTTTATTTTTATTTCTATTCTAACACGTTTGTCTCAAACACACACATGGCAACTATAATTTGCAGTATTTTCAATAATTAATATCTGCTATAGTTTATACACGTATATAAATGAAAACATGAGTATTTAAATCTATATGTTAATTGATTTTTAACCAGTTAATAAGTAATATTTATTTTAAGAAACTTTTTTTAGAATAATGCAGATGAGTAATTTCTGAAAAAAAAAAACAATGAGCTTCTTTTGTCCCCGATAAACAGGAAACTTGAAATGATCTTTACCGGGAATCCCGAGAAATAAAAAAAAACAGTAAAATGAGATAAAAAATCTACAAAAACTATATATCTGTGTTTATGATGTTAGTCAAAAAAGGGTTAGTTTAAAAATTTCACAATTAAACTAAGATATAAACTACATACTAACTACAAAATTAAAACAAATACTTTAGTTGAATTACTTTATTATAAGTCACAAAACCTTCAAAATAGATAACTATAAATGTGCAAACGGGAAATTCAAATTCTATAAATTCCCGGGAATTCTTAACATAATCAATTTTGATGTATCATAACATAATATAATATAAAGAATACCCATTTTAGCTTATTACTTAATCTATCAAATGCTAAGAAAATATTGTTAAATCCTAGACTTTCATAACAATCTGTCAACTTAAATTCCAATTTGAAGCTGAAAGTAATATAAACAGTAAAACCATAGCACAAAGCTAATAACTACAAGAAACAAACATTTCTTATTATAAATTCTACTAAATTTAGGCAAGAAATAGGAAATTTATATAAGATTATTCTAACATATTTTTTTATTATTTAATTGAATAAGCTATTATATTTAAATAAATAATGTCAAATCTAATTTCCTTTTATATAATGTGGAATAATAAATATTTCTATATATTTTTTATTTTGTCATTTTTATATATAGTTTTATATATGAGTTTAACTATAATAACTGTTAATCCAGATATTTCTTGTATTTATAGAATATAATAAGTACGTCAAAGTGCATACTAGATAATGATAATAACATGATTTTTTATTCAATTCAAAATATAAAGTTTATTTCATATATCAAAAAATTATATTTGTCTATTTAATATTAAGATTTTTTATTTTACAAAGTAAATAATTCATATTTCTTCATCGTAAGGAAACTGGTACAATCAGTTATTTTTAATAAAAAACTTTTTCATTTCATATCAAAAAAATAAAAACAAAATCATTGTTGTCTATGTGAATCTCAATAACAACTATTGAAATACTGATCGTATTTTTATGTCTTCACATTACATTTACAGTGTGCAGGACAGAACAATATTTTTCGAGCAATGGTCGGGTGGAGCATATTTAGTTCAATCTTATCTTAAAATATATACGCTAAGTATAGCAAGAAGAGTTAACAGTTGTTGATAATTAATATGCAAGTTTTGTACAAAACGAATTAAATTTAAGTCAATTAATTCCGGCGTTAAGAGGTTAAACAATTTAGAATATTTGAGTAAATGAACTGCAGTAACTGAAGATTATATGCGAAAACATCATTGTCGATTTAGATATATTATTCTTGCTAGTATATGCAATGTATATCAAGAACGTGGTTGGAGATATTCAGAGTGTGTCTGGATGTAAATGCACGTGTGTATTTGAGAGCTAGAATTCGAGGTTGTCTGAATTCGTAATTAAGCGATTTAATGCATCAATGTTTGCATTGTCGTCGAGGTGCTGCCGCTAATTCCGCATTCATATTCATATCCACGGAGATCTGCTCTGGGGAACGGATGGATATGTATTTATTAACCACGGCCATCAACCGGCTTACGGATTTACATTTACTCCAGTATCATCAGCAACAGTATCAGTGGCAGCAGCAGAAGCAGAGACTCATCACTATCATCATAATCATCGTCACATCCCCAGCAAAAAAAAACCTGTTGAACAATCTCATTTCAATTTCGTGAAATAAGACCGTTTTATTCACTTGGTAATTCCATGCCGGGGCTTTCCGTCTGCATGCGACCGGCCTGTTCACGCCCAGCACTTTGCTGATTCATAACTGGATGAATTACAGCTACTCAGAAAAGGCATTTCCAGTCCACTCCCACACAACAGCTAACGTCCATCCGCCATCCATAAATCCCATTCCGTGCCAGGCCAACTAATTATGGGACTTCATTAAAGCATTGCAGTTTGTACGGAGTTTGACCACCAAGGAAACTCGTGAATTCCCCTCCTGCCCTGTCGCCTTCTTTTCTATTGCTTTTCCTGTAACAGAAACTCGATTAGAACGGTAACAAGTTTAGATATGAGTCGGGACAAATTGAATCGTCCTAAATAAATAATAACCGAAAGAAGGGGAGGATATGTACGAGTGGAAGAAAAAAAAATAACATAACAGCAGGGTGAATTGACAGACGGAAATTTATTGGATTCTTGCAATAGGAGGGGGTGTGGGGAGACGCGTGTTTGGATAAATAATGGAAAGGAGAGACAAGAAATTTGACACGTTGACAAATTGAAAAAAATGGTTTTCTAGTCGTGATAGGCATTAGATTTTGCTGTGATTTTGGATGCGTGACTTGATGTCGGAAAGTTTTGGTGGATGCAAACACCAACTTCCGGCCTCGGTAATACTGTTAAATTGTTGCCGATTTCGTGGCTAACGGACGGACGGTCGATGTGAATAATTTCGCGGATCTGCGCTTCCCGGAAGTTGGACCGGAAGGAGTGATGGGATGTGAGGAAGTAACATGTAATTCCTGCTTGTAATTCGAGTGTATTATTGTTTCAGACTGGTAAACACTTCCACCGCACCTCGCTTCTCATTAAGGCCTTCAACCACAAGTTTCGACTCGATCTGGAGCTTAACACGTAAGTCAAATTTAACTCAAACTTACTCTCTCTCTCTATCTATCTATCTACGTGTTCGTATCCTAAAATGCCACGTGGTGTGATGCATATTTCATTCGTTCCCCACGAAGGGACGACTTTTCCATCCCGAACCTCTTCAATAATTACAATGCACCGAAACTTCGTGCACAGTCAATATTTACGGAGTGTTCATCCCTTTTCCCATCTGAAACTATTACATCCTATTATTTTATTTACCTCACACCATTACAAACTTTACTCATGGATGATTCAATTAGTATTTCTTCACCACTAGACAAAACATCAAACACACACATTATAATTTTAGATGTTAAAATTAAAGAAAAATAATTTGAATTTAATCAGAAAATAAACAATATTTTTAAGAAGAAGATACAATTCAAAATTAATTATCATTAGTATAGTTTAAGACTCATTTGTAAAGACACAAAACTATATACAGCTAGTGCTTAACGACCACTCGCACATACAACCAATCGAGTGTGGCCATATGAATAAATTTGAAGTTTGTTTCAAAATTTTTAGAATTTTACCATGCTCGGTCGTAAAGTAAGAAGTACTTGTATATATTTTTGTTAATTAAAAAATATCGTATTTTATCATACAAAAAACTTATGACTAATTTATAAAATAATTTTGCAATAATATATTTTTAGAATGTGAAAAAATGAATTTTTACAAACTTAATACAAAAAAGGGACATGATTATAAGGACATTAGGAGTTGAAATGAGGCTGGTTTCTTATTAAAACGGAAATCATAATGCGTTCAATACAGATTAAAATTAATTCAATGATTAACAAATTATTTCATATTTATCAAACAATTAATTGATTTCGTTTTCAATATTTTAAATAATCCTAATTAATAAAACTATATAGTACATTTTTAATAATTATATTTTTTTTAAATGAACAGAGAAATGCAATATAAATATTATATCCCCCATTGAATGACTACTTGAATATTTATGACATCTTTAACATTTAGACGTGTCTGTAGTTTATTCAATGTTTTATATCAACCCGCAGTAGACTCCTAAGCAATTGCAGTCCTCAGTTCAATTGCTACTGACTATTAACCTGGATAGTTCCCAGGACACACGATTCTTTTTGAGCTCACAGAATTTTTTTGCATTAAAATTGAACAATTCATATTTTGTTATTAAGTTGCTAACATTGCTGACAACCAACGCTTCCCCTTGATCTAATTAACACTGTATACTAAGATTCTATAGTATGTAAATGTCCGTTCTATCAATTAGGCACATAAAACTTTTTTGGGACCAACATGGTATTTTGGGGCCCACAATCAATATGTGAAAAAGAATTGACATACAATAATATTTAAATTAATTTTACCTTTCGTCAGCCTATTTTATTTATTTAAATTATAATTAAAGGTGAGTTGAGTGATCTAATTAACTGCTACCAAGGCCCACGAGTGCCACTGCTTATATGTCACTTAAAAATTGGTATATCTTAAATACCTGTTGGTGTTAAATATATTTAATAATTGAAGATCGTTTAGCGTTTATGATACGTTCATAATTGACAAGCGCCAGGTTAACAAATAGTTAAAAAAAATATATTAACCTATGGATCGAGTTAAATTTTTAATTCGTTGCGAACTGCTGTTATCTTTTGTTAAACGCTGCTTTAATATGTAGTAAATATATAAGCTAATATTACAGTTTTGACATAGTTTTATTGAATCAGCTTTAATTGAGCAAGCTCTAAACGAGATCTGCATTTAATTTTTTTATAACATTTATAAACACAATTATTGTGTATTTTTTATTTATCAGAAGAAATTTAAGAAATAATCACTGCCTTTTCTACAAGCTCGAAAAAATACATTTGATACACCCGTAATCAGACGCCTTGTTATTTCATGAGCCTAAACATGGCGTAACTTGATCTTATAATATTAGATTTTTCTTCTTTCTTATCCATGTCGCACAATGTATTGATTCTCAAACAGACCATTTATTTTTCAATAAACAAAAAATAATAAATACAAATTCCTGTCCAATGTATTTTATTTACTAGAAAACATTATTAACAAAGACTACTAAGAAAAATAACAATTACTGAATAAAGTTTGAAACTTTGAAAAAAATTAATAATTACAATGTAATTTGATATAAATGCATATACACGAACAAAACTAAGCAATGTCACTCTGACTTTCTTCAGTGTTAATTATATTTAAATTTCCATTATTTGTATTCGGTCGATCTATACATAAATTTCAATAAATTTCAGTCTAATAACCCCTATTCATACTATTACCGTTCATATAAATTACCAATTAACATGTATTTTACAAAGCACAGAAAAACATAACAGTCATTTCCACAAACACGACTATTGTTTCATCTTATACATCACATGGGAGCATCTTATACTTGGTGAAATACGGTAATTAATATTATAATATTAGGTGCAAAGTTACATTAATAAATTTATTATTGACAATGACTAGACCGTTAAAACATGACGTTCATTCTGTACTTTATAATATATTTGACCTATTTAAATCAATTGTTTCATAGGTCAGGATTATAACATAATGTAAAACACTTACGTTATAATCCATTTGAGTTGCATGGAAAAATGTAGTTTTCAATTATATAAATGGAATGTTTGAAATTAATTTTAAGTTTATTAACAATTAGTTATTAACATTATAGTTTTGGTTGTCGTTGAATATATGAAATAAATATAAATATGAGTTTACGAAGGTATATCCATTATTGTTCCCGAATCTTCAGATTGGGTTTAATATAGGCTTTGAAGTAAAAATCTGCGAAGAGGGAAAATATTGTGAGGTTCTGTGGAATGAGGATGAAGAATAAGAATGTTGGCACGGGGCAGTTTGGTTGAAACGCCAGCATCTGCAGATGCTGAGCAAGCAGAATTCCGAATTGCAGCTGGAAACAGAAAAAGAGTCATAAGAAATACGAGTTATATTAACATGGTCATAAGCTTCCTAAATAAATGTAACGTTTTCTTGACTTACGTTTAACTTTTTTATTAAAAGATTTAGTGACAAGTTATTTAGTAATTTCAAGAAAATTGTTATTGTATTCGACTATAAACTTTCTATTAATGATAAATTTCAAATTATTAAATCAAATTTGTTTTCAGGAAAAATAAAAGAATTTTCAACTTTTTTGTGCAAAAGACGATACTCGATATAATACGCATTAAAAAACTTTTAACGCTATTAATTTTCTAATTTATTATGATATTTCAGGACAAACTTTAGATAATATAGTGTTATTTTTACTATATGAAAATGATATTTTTGTGTAAAAATCTTAATGCTATAAATCTTAAGTATTTTAAGTAAAAAGTCATACAATTGATTTTTTATCTAATTTAACAAAATTGTTTATATAAATAATATTATTTTTATCTAAAATTCATAACTAAATCAAATGTGGTACTTAATTTTTAATAAACAAATGATTCGAAATATTGTATTTTCGATGAATACTCGAGTATAATACGTAATTTTTAAAATTAATTAATTCTTTAAATAATTTATTAAGTTTATCAAAGTTTTAATATAAATGTTATTTCTAAGTAAAATTCTTAACTTACCAATTGAAGTTGAGTGATGTGCTTCTTCCACCAAATGCTCTTCTTGAATTCTGGGTTGTAAGCAGTCAACAAGTAATATCCGTACATAATGATGTGTACGAAGCTGTTTATGACAATGATGTACATGATGTAACCTCCGGGTACGAATTTGGTGAAAATCCAAGAGAGAGCAACCATACCCCAATGATGGTAGACATGAAGGAAGCTCACCTGATTTTCCTTCTTCCTTAATATGAAGAATACCTAAGTCAATGAACAAAAAAAAAGACAATTATTGCACGGTTTATTAAAAGCCGCTATAAAAATGGATCGTAATCTTTTCAAAGCTTTTAATCAAACCCACGGAATTAATGCTTTTAACGGTCGACCTTTACTGGTGGGGTGGAGAACGATATATTGCCGCATTATTTTTCTTTCGTTCGTACACTTTGTGTCCAATATGTAATTTCACTGTCCACCTTTTAATTATGTCCGCCAGTTTTATAGTTATCGCCGTTAAAAAAAGCTATTTTCAAATTTTTAACTGCTTCCAATGTGTATCAATTTCATATGTTTCTAAATGCTGAATGATATGCGTAGGGAAATAATTGATAAAGTTATAGTTTTATTGTCTACCAGTATAATAGTTAATGCCGTTAAATAACTTACCGTGTCCAAGAGGTCTGTTATCTTAACAATGAAGTAAAACCAAACAATGCGAGCAACGTGTATAGCCTGAGGTGAATTGGAGTAATCCACCGGAGCGCATAAGAAGTCATAGTTAACCAAAGCGCTTCTGCATCCCTGGAAAGTTTTGGATATAAATGACTTGTAGTTATGTTACATGATCTTGTGATGTTGTACCTCTACTACTATGTAGGTGCAAGCTGCTATCTGCGCTGCATTGTAGAAGATCATTAGCTTGTCGATGTTGAAAGGTTTGCGGTTCTTCATGAATTTGGGTCCGATGTCGAGGATCACGTACAAATAGAGTAAAGATATGCCGACTATTGACCACAGCGACCTCATCAGAAACCAATCCTCGACCCGTGGATCTGCAAGTATTCCAAGTATTTCGTCGAAACGCAAATATTAATTAATTTACCGTGCAGCGTGTTCATGGCATGGCAGAAATTTGTAGCCAGTTTTTTCAAAAGTAGAGCCATGTCGTCGCCGGTCACTACTGGAAGAATGCCGACAATCAATTTTCCAGTTTATATACGTCAGGTCAGACTTCCGTCATTTGCATACAATGAGTATAATACAACCTGTAAAATGATGATGGTGGAAAAACGGAATAATATCGAGTTTTTACATTTTTTTTCTTTGACTGTTGTAGGGATTTTGAAAAAAAAACGGTTTTTCATTACCGGTAAAAACGATTTAAACTGAATTTCGAATTTATATTTAATTCATATTTTAAACCAATTAAATGATAGACGAAAATACTGCGGTCAATAACCCTGTATATATATATATTTGTTTTTTTTATTCTAAATTGTTTGATTAATAAAAAATATATTTATTTATTTTTATATGTGAGATATTTGTATACGTTTTAACTTTTTATTTGTAACTGTTCACTTAATGATCAATTAATTTTGATACAAATCAAAATAATTTCCAACCTTACTAAAACTTACTTTTATCGTATCTATAGCTTGAATTAATACATCTATTTTTTTGTACTTTTATTTCTTGTATTAAGTTTTTAGAATTCAGCTTTAAGTGTATTCGGATTTACCATACTTTATTATATTTCTTGAAGACATTTTAACACGAAATGTTATTTTTTTAATTAAACAAATAATTAAGTTTCTTTTTATAGTCATGTTTAGTATTTAAATATTTTTTTAAACTTAATACAGTACGGTTTCGCTTTAATGCGTTAAAATCATTTGTGAAAATCTTCGTAAAATATACGATAAAATAGTTGCACAGCAATACGTTGTATGTTTTTTGCTATATTTTATTTATAAAAATTAAGTTGCTTGCATGGTTCTGGGTCTCATGTAACACAACAAGACATATTCTATGAACCTATAGTATTATAGGAGAGTTTGTTGTATATACAAAATAAATACATATATAAAATCTATTGGCGGTCATGTTTTCGCTTAGATTATTTATGAAAGCATCGATGCTTAAAAACAGACAAACCCAAGTAAGGAAGTTTTATTCTTTCCTTGCATCATCAATATTTTCTTTAGAAGAAAAGCAAGGAATCGAGTTTGTTATTAGGTTCCAAAAAGCCGTCCCATTATATAAGCCCTTCCTCGTTCTGTTGTCTCGTCCAGAAGCATCCATCCGTTGGCATCGAGACATATCTATTTCCTATCGACTCTTTTCGCTGGTAATTGCAACGGAAAATATGATGACTATAACAATTTCGAAAGCCACATGAACATGTGCTTCCACGAGACGAGTGGTTTCTGTTTCCATCCTTTTCTCTCCGCCCCACTCTTTGTATACATGTCTCTCTTGATAGCTCCTCTTTTTTTCATCCATCGTAGTTATGGAATGGTTGGCATTTGTATTTTCGTTGTTATTTCGCTGGGCCAGACGATCTCATCCGGAGCATCGAGGTTGGAGGTGGGCGGTTGGTTGGGGTTTGGGTTTGGTCGGATGGATTGGATTGCTGGAGATCGATGTTCGCATTAGGCCATGTGCGCGTATAATAACGGATATCAATCCAATATAACCGCCGGCCTACCATTATCAATTATCAATTTATCTGACTTGCTATTGCCAATTACCTTGATTGGCGTACAATATGAAATTATAATATACATATACGATTTTCTATCCATCCTCGTCGATAATAAAATCTCGCGAACGCCAACCCTCCAATCGAAACTCGCACGCAAATTTTGGCCACCCCATACATACATATATATTCTCGTTCCGCCATCGACCCTTCATCCATCGCAGAATACCGAACAACAGCAACAATCAACAACAACAAAAAAGGCATCGCCGTTGCAGGGTTTAATGGTGAACCACACGTTCGCATTGTTTCATTGTGCCATCCATTACCAATTCCATCAAAAAATCGCTCACCACTCCTCCAGTTTTCAGCTTTATTCATAAAACTCATTTTTTTCTGGTACTTTGATAAACAAAAAACCATCACCCTTTTATAAAAATGCATTAAATTATTATCATTCGTTATACAATTTAAAAAGAGCATTGATAATCACTGGTTTGATTATCAATGTGTCAAACGTGACACGCAAACACATTTTGCATAACAAAGTCTGTAAACAGTGGCAAAATCTGTACGCCCTGAAGATGGTTAGGAAAACTAAATCCTTAGAGTTAAGCAAGGAGAAGAATAGTTTTAAGAACGATTTCTTCCATTCTTGGTCCTTTGTCCAAAACACGAGATAAGTTAGGTTCTTTCCTAATTTTGACACACCAATGTTTGCGAATCAATGCACTAAGGTAGTGGTCGGTAAGCTTTTTCAAGCAATGAGCCATATTTTAGTATTGGATGTTAAACAATAATCCAGGTAAGCGGTCGGCAATGTGCAAATCGTGAGCCACATGCGTCTCTTGGGTACTTACATGTAGTCCCTAAAGTAAAATTAAAACAAAAACATAATATGTTTAAAGGCGATGTTAAAAGAATATAATAATACTTGAATAATCTTTAGTTTTTCTCAGTGAGACAAGAATAGATCATGCAGCTTTGGAGGTATTTACATTTACTAAAGACGTATTACTTTATATAGATAATTAATTAAAGATGCTTAAAATCTTATTTTCCTACTTAATTTAACAAATAATGACGAAAATGTTTTCAGCATTTCAAAAGCTTTAGTTTCAAATAATCATTATATCTTAAATATTTCTACGGGTGTATTTAAACTACATAAGAATTTTACTTTATATATAGAAAATGAAATATGTTGATAACGCATTAGCAAATGTATTGAATATACGATTTTTTTATTACTTTTTTTCTTTGGAATTTATGATCATTTTTATCTGACATACAAATTATCATTATTATTGAAATAATTGTATACAATAAAGTTTACTTTATATAATAGATTATTATATATGAAAATATTGTTTGTCAATTTTCCCAAAAACACTGATCAAAACAATTTTACAAAACTAAGTCAATAAGTATTTGAATAGCTTACATAATAATTTACATGTACATGTTTCATTTGATTTATACAAAGTAATATTAATATTAACAATTCAATTAGTAATATTGCGTAATTTTTATCTATAGTTCAGACCTTCCGTGCAGTTTGTATTTCCATACAATATAACCAACCTATATTAATTATCATTTTCTTTTCTTTTTTTATGAATGAAATAATCTAGTTTATTTCACGTGTCTTGTAATTATGACTTTTAATTAAAAGCGTCACTGCGGAATTGAAATGCGTCTCTCAATAGGCCCTTGCTTTCAGTATCCATAATTAATAATCAAAAAGCCTTCCTTTTCCTCCTCTTACATTTCGCACTTTCAACCCTTTCTCCATCAACATCAATGATGACTTCATCCAAATTCAAGAACATTAATTTAATGCTTTACGAACGGAGATTTTTCTAGATTGCATTTTCAACAGTTTTTATACGAAAATCCTGTTTATTATTAAATTTGTCGTATTTCGGTAACTCAAATGCCGCTCACTATAGAAGTATTTTTAAATATTTTAGAGCTCCATCTAAAAAAAACTAGTGGCGCGAACTAAGATTCGATCACTTCGATATCACAGTGGCCTTGCATACAATTGTGCATAAGTACAATAGGATATGGCGGATATCTTCGCCGCGTTTCCACAAATGTTGAAAATGATCTTTCCACGAGTATATTTTCAATTCCTTAAATATAGAATTACGTTATTAATTAACGTATTAAATTTATCTCCAGGTTTCAAATAAAAAAAGAAATGTTACGGCTGTATATGTTTCAATTGTAGAATTATTTGCAATTCTTCAATTTTCTCTATTATTTGAATAGTGCATCTCCTTATTCTTTATTTAACTCTATTAAAATAATGTGTTTGAATGAACTTCTTAAACATTTTCTTACACCGGTCTTAAATACACTAATTTCAACTGTTAACAATTTGCTTTCTTTCGAAACTTTTAACACAAATTTTTACTTTAAATATTATTTAAATTTATTTTAATCACTTTTCACGGAATAATAGTTAGTCAAACTTATAATCCGTTGATTAGTTAACCTTATTTATTATTTATTGAAACAATTTGTAGAAAAAATGTTAGTATTTATGTTTATTTTAATATAAATCTATGTTTTTAGTTGATAAAATAATCGATAAACTCGAAATAATCTTACATTTACAGATTATTGCTGGAAAAAATATTGGAAAATAAAAATACTTTGAAATATATACATATTAATTTATTCTTTTTTTCGTATATTTATATAAAAAATGTGTACAGTAAAAGCAGAAACAGAAATAAATATAACTGGAACGAAATATTATATTTGCACAAACAAAACTAAATTATATTTTACGTGCGGGCCCATTTTACTCGCACCCATACGCGCATATTCGCATGTGTATAGTAATAATAATATATGCGTACGCTTTTGTGGAAATAATATTTTCCCCAGTTATTTTATATAAAGCGAATGTAAACTAAATGAACCGAAACGCAGTGATTAAATTGAAAAGAAAGAAAAAATGAAAAAAATTATTTATAAAAAAAATGTAAATAATGGGATCAGACAACCATATTCATATGTCAACAAAAATGGTTTATGCACTGCGTTATGGTTTGTAAAAGTATTTTGTTTTCAAAGTCGCTTTGTTTGGTTTCAATAAACGTAATGAATTTTGCAGCGTTTGTAATTATTTTTCTATTATGTTTAAAACTTTATATTTTTCATTCTTAAAAAATAATTTATTTATAAATAAATTTATATTTTATTATATTATAGTGGAACTTGTGGAAAAAGTTTTTAAATAAAATGAATTATTCATTCATTAAATTGCAGCAATACCTCACGGATCATAGTGCGACTTCGATTAGCCCCGATTTACTATAGAAATTATCGTTTTTTTTTCTTAATGCAGTCATATATTTTCTTGTGTGGTTCAGTTTTTCGCAGTGTCGGACCAAACAATAGTGGGGGCGGATCTGTAGGGGGCTCAAATATAAATTTGTTTATGGCATTCAAATACTAAAACTGATTGGTGTCTAGGGCCTTCGACTTTCTTAATGTGGCCCTTCGCACTATGATATTTTCCATTTCAAACCATGGGGGATCCTCAAATAAAAATTTGCTAGTTGCAATTAATTTTATGA